TTTAGCTGCAGCAACTGCTATTACATGAATGCTGCAATATATGTACATACATGTATATGTATGCGCAGAGGTTTGTAGTCACATAACAGCATACAATGACACTCCGAAAGTAGGCATTTATGAGGCCAATAAGAGTCATTTAAGAGCTTCAAAAAGAGTCCAAAATGAGCCGTATATGAGGCCAATAAGAGTCCAATATGACTCATATTGAGGCTCATTTGATGTATGAATTTAAGCTCATGTAGGTCGACCTTCGCAGGAAGGGAAACACCCTCATTTCGGACTCTTAAATGAGCTCATTATGAGCACAAAGGCTCCGAAATGGGACTCCTTAAAGACTCAATTATGACTCCAAATGTTTGCTGGGTGCTAGTTAATAAATAATTTTTTTGTAATAGTATAAACTCCCCATAAACACTTTTAAAATCCCCGCAAAGTCTCCAGAAACGAAATAAAAATTTTTAAGTTTAGTTTCCTTCACAAAGCTGTATTATTCTTTAAGATATATAATAGGGGTATTCCCTTAAACACGTAAAAGCCTCGTAAAACTTGTAAATTTACGAGCCTCGTAAAAGAACTGTCACAATTTATATGGAGCTCTATTACTGCACGTCTATACCTGCTATGGGCGCTCGCATACGAACTGTCAGTTTTATCGCATGCGAAATCTTATCGCAGGGTAATTTTTGTACATGGGCATTTGATCGCATACCATTGCAGTTCGAATTTGTTGTAAGTTTTTTATAAATGTTATTTCTCCGAATAACACCGCTTCTTTCCTACTCGGAATCAAAGCAAATACGAACAAGTAAGAAAGTCTAAGTTCGGGCGGAGCCGAACATTAAATACCCGGCGCAAGTGTTAAATATATGTTTTTTCACTCTTCCGAAACCTTCCGCTAGATGGTAAGCCGAGGTGTATCAATTTTGAGTAAATTAGCGTCCTTCAATTTCGAAATATTGAAGTTTCAAGCATTTCTTAAATTTACCGTTATATGAGAATCGGCCGTTATTTTAGTCCGATTTCAATAATTTTCAACGTTTTGCTTACACGTGGCAAGTACAATAACCATACCGAGTTTGGTACAAATTGGTAGAACGGTTACCGATATACTTATATGTGATCATAAGTGGGCGGTGCCACGCCCATTTTCCAAAATTTTACCATAAACGTATTTCTTGGTAAAGAATTGTTGCAAGCATCAATTTTGAATAAATTAGCTTCAATATTTACTGATTTATCGAAGATTTTGTATTTCTCTAAATTACCGTTATATGGGATGTGGGCGTGGTTATTGTCCGATTTTAAAAAGTTTCGGCGGTTTTTTATGCTGTACGAAGGCCAACAACTGTGCCAAGTTTGGAAGAAATTGGTGCAGCGGTTACCAAGATATACACATGTAACCATAAGTGGGCGTGGCTACGCCCATTTTCCAAAAATTTATAATATTCTTATTTTTCGTCTAAAAATTATTGTAAATATCAATTTTGAGTGAATTATCTTCAGTAGTTACTAAAATATCGCAGTTTTCGTATTTCTGGAAATTACCGTTATATGGGAAGTGGGCGTGGTTAAAGTCCGATTTCGCCCATTTTCAATACCAACCTACCTTGGATTAAGGGAAACCTACATACCAAATTTCGTTGAGATATCTCAATTTTTGCTCGAGTTATCGTGTACACGGACAGACGGACAGACGGACAGACGGACAGACGGACGGACAGACAGACATGGCTTAATCGATTTCTTTTTTCATCCTGATCATTTATGTATACATTTGTCTATATCTATCTCGATTCGTTTTGGCTGTTACAAACAACCGTTATGTGAACAAAATTAATATACCCTTGTGCACAAGTGCGCTCGGGTATAAAAAGCAGTGGCTAAACTCATAGTTAGGTATGCGATAAATGGTATGAGACAAGGCGCATTTAACAAGGTGGTGTTGGCCTTATATAAGTAAAAAATTACACTAACAAATTATACGCTGATGTCCATACTGTTGTTGGTATGAGTTACAACAAACACATCATTTTGACGTAATGGCCTCCACGGCGAAAAACTCAGCCGTCGCCCCAACACCACCTTGTTTAATACACCTTAGTATGAGATATCTCTTACTTTATATCGTATACTTTCCGCGATGAACGGTCTACACCTGCGATATATCTCTTACGATGTTTCGTATGCGAGCGCCCATAGCAGGTATAGACGTGCAGTTAACGAGCCCCTCGTAAATTTATGAGGCAAATTTGATAAATACGTGATAAGCGTAATTTTGACTAAAAATTTGGTGGTAGAACAGAGATAATTTAACAACAAATTTCTTAACTTCTGTTAGTAACTACAATGTGATAGTAACCAATTCAGATAAAGAAGGCCTCGCCCAACATCCTCATCAAGTTTCATGACGAAATTCCTTATTTTCGCTGAAATCTCAAATGGTTCCGTTTTGGAAAGCCGACCTGAGAATCCTACTTAGTAAATGTTATAATCCCTAAGCGCGGGCGAAGGCCGCCAACGTAGAAATGTGTTCTGCGCAAAGGTGTTACTCCGCTTCCCTTCGGCAACACAGAAAGGAGAATTCTCCTTAGTAAGGGCTACGCAGAATGAACTTTTTCAAGAGAAGCCTCTGGACCTGGGGTCTTCTGCCTTGTGCACAAGAAATGTTACATACCCTCGGCAACACGGAAAGGCTCAAGTCGTCACCTCGAAACAAGCGAAAACGCGAGTAAAAATCGTGATTTTTGCCAATTTTTGTAAATACTTTCGAGGGACCTATAAGGAGCCTAAGCAGCCGAGTGTTACATTTTTCAAAACGGCAGTTATGCCCTCCCTGAAATGGGGTGTGAGGCGTGCCACGCTCCCTCCCCTCCGCCCACAACGCACACGAAGATCGGTCGTAAAAGAAAGTTTCCCGGAATTTAATTAACTAATCATTTCTAAACATATCTCTTCATTCCAGTTTCTATGTTTTAATATCATATCCTAGCTCTAGTGAACAAAATACTTACATAGTAGGTATCCCGAAGAAAATCGGACAGTATAAACAGCGGGAACAAGTATAATTTTCATTTTCATGCTTTGGATGCAATTGTAGCACATACTCACCTTTCCAAATTTTCACATAACTTTTCTCCAATAGTGCCAGCAGCTTTGTTAAATCACCAAAAACAGAAGAAAAAACGATGGATACAACGTAAAGAAAATACTCATACGAATACGACGTAAACGTTGAAAACTCTCGAGTTTCTTTCGCTTCAGATATTTAATAATTTCTATATTAATTTCTTATTGGATTTCTTCGCCCTTACACCTTTAAATTAACACACATTCCGTGCTTAACAACTTCGTTTACACTTCAATGCACTGCCGTGTATATAAAACTATTCGTAGTTTTTCCTTTTCATCTTTAATCTATTGCTTTGCTTACCTTTTTCTCGTGTGTGTATTTTTTGAATTTGCTTTTACATGGTTTTATTATGCTTTGTTTCTTCCTGGTTCGCTACAATGGTTTTAAAAAAACAGACTGACCAGATGTATACGGATTTCTATCTAATTGGCTTACGGCGCGTTTACATTGGACAATGCTGTCAAGAGAATGAAGAGATGCAATCACAATCGCAGTGTTGCGCGAATTGTTAAAGTATCACGTTTCGTGTGAATTTCTAGCAACGTTTTATCAGTTGGAAAGTTGCAACAGTATTGCAAATTTTCATCAGTGCAGCAGTATTGCCGCTATTATTACATGCCTCGAACAGGCCCTACGTATTACAGCCCCTATAAGAAAAGGACTTATTTTTCTGACCTCTTCACTAACACACTAAAATTTACACCAATATACAGAAAAACATTTGTAAAAATAACCTTAGGAAATACAACACTAATCTACTATTAACACTAATCTCCGGTAAAACATCGTTTTCGACGTTACCGACTCCATGTTATAATATAACACACTTATGCATTTAGCCGAACACGTCGATAGTGATGCTTAAACGGAGATTAGTGTTAACCATATATTGAGTAAACGGCCCTAAGTAGGAAAGGGACCTTCTAACACTGCTGGTAAAATTCCCATGTGAGAAAGGGACGCATAGTCACATCTACACAAAAGAACCGGTCAGGTTTTTCATATTACACCCGAATTATGGTGAGGAAATTGCAGCATTATTGCATCAGCATGAACGAAAGACACAAGATCACGCCTTCCCGAAAGAAAGAAAAGTTATTTTCTAGCTGTTGAAATCTCGACGCCATCTTTGTTGTAAGAAGTAAACAACGAAGAGAACAAAAAAAACCGCGTAATTGTTGAACGCATGAATAATCATTTTTATTATGCAAATTCTTTTATAAATCATGTTGCGTTAAATTATTCTTTACCTTATGTGTGCACACGTTTTCACAAGCGAAAATTAAGAAAATTGCAGTAAAAAGCCACCACCAAATTGTAAACAACGAACAAATGTAAACAAACGGCTAATGTCAAAATCGTTACACTTTTTTCCTAAATGCGATTATAACGGGCTACTAAGGCGTGATCTTGTATTTTGGTTCATGATGCATCAGCACTGACCGTCAGGTGACCGGCCATTTGCCAGTAACATTTCTTGTAGGGTAACATTCTTAATTATAGAAATAGCCTGGCAACTACTTGTATTCTTCTTCACCATTTCGCTTTCGCAATTTTTCTTTTATCGTTGCTTTCGTAATGCAGTTTATGAAGACATTTTTTCCCCAATTAATTTTAACTATTTGTGTCACCTTTTGTCGTTTTTTCTATATNGGGTAGGGTAACATTCTTAATTATAGAAATTAGCCTGGCAACTACTTGTATTCTTCTTCACCATTTCGCTTTCGCAATTTTTCTTTTATCGTTGCTTTCGTAATGCAGTTTATGAAGACATTTTTCCCCCAATTAATTTTAACTATTTGTGTCACCTTTTGTCGTTTTTTCTATATGCTACCAAGTATGATTATCTAACCACATAAATATTCACCTTTTATTACTTTTTTTTACAAAATTCCCACATAAACACGACGACGCACAATTATTCCATTTTGCCTTCAGCTAAAATTTAATTTTGTCTCTACTACATTGGGGTTCCGTTGCAATGGGCAGTGTTGCTAAAAAGTGTAAGTAGTTCCGAACCATTTTGTTGCCAAATAACAACGCAGATTTTAAAATTTTTATTAAGATTTCAATTTTTATTCTTATATTTTTCCGTTAACTTTTTATAATATGGTGTATTCTACAAAACCAAACAAAAATATCGAATTTCTTGGTTTCGAACTATTTTGTTGCCAAATAAAAGCGCAGATCTTTAAATTTTCATATAGGATTCCGTTTATAGATACACTGCCGGAAATAAATACTGACACAGAAATTTTTTCACAATATACGCGAAAATTTTTGTTCTAATATTTTCCGTTAATTTCTATAAAGATATAGTTCATTCTATAAAACGAAACATAATCAGTCTTATCGTGAGTATCATTTTCACCGAACCGGTTCACTTTTCACTTTTGGTTTCCACAGTTTTACTATGGGCGGATGATAAATTTTCGGGTGAATTTTTTTTTCAGGCGAAACTCGGGATAAGGTAGAATATTTTTTATAAATTTCAATAAATGTGAATACAAATTTGAAACTTTTTAATCCGATATTTTGGAATTTTCTTGAGTAAGCTCTTTTGTAGCACATTAAACTCTAGTATAACAAATGCAAGTTTGAAGTTAGTCAAAAATCGCGTTGATTTTTGAGATTTTTTTTGTTGAAGGTGTTTTGCATTTTTTCCATACAAAGTATTTTCAAAATTGTTTTTTGTATGAAAACACCTGCGTGCAAAAAACTGTCAAAAATCAACGGTAAGGGCTAGCTACTTAAAACTTGCCCTTTATTTTAAAAAAAATTTATTGGGTCACAAATTCCGATTTAAAAGTTAAAAACTTGCATGCGAATTTATTGAATTTTCTAGAGTTTTGCACATAGTTAAGAAATCATATTTGTATGTTTTTGTTGTAGAATGAACCATTGTTTTACAAAAAATTTAAGAATTGTTGCATATATTGTAATAAATTCCCTGTGCCAATACATTTTGCCGGCAGTGTATATTGTTTTTATTTAGGTGTTTTCAAATACAAATTATGTAACATAGAAAATTAGAAAATTCGTATCAACTACAAATCCGTGGTCCTCTGAAATAATGGCACAACCCAAAATTAAAAAAAAAAATTCTTTCTACTGTTAGGTGTCTCATGTCTCTAATCCTTGTCTAATACATGTCTAATCTTTACGACTTACTTAAGGAATCCTTACTACTTACTTAGGATTAGAGCCGTAAGAACTTAACAGAAGTAAGGGTATTGTTTTTTTTTGAATTTTGAGTTGTGCCGTTATTGCATAGGACCATCGATATCTTAAACTGACTATCGCCTAATCGATTCATCGAAAAATTGCCTTAAAAATATTAATCATGTAAATTTGTGTGTATAAATTTTNTATCTTAAACTGACTATCGCCTAATCGATTCATCCAAAAATTGCCTTAAAAATATTAATCATGTAAATTTGTGTGTATAAATTTTAAAACAAAGTATGTATGTATATTAATGAATTTAAATATATGTAGGTATTAATGAGACGATATTAAAAATTATGCAGACAGTTCTTTCAGCACATGACCGGCGATGACAAGACGTTGTATTTCGGACGTGCCTTCGTATATCTCTGTAATACGCGCATCCCGATAGTAACGTTCGCCTGCCATATCAGTAACATAGCCCATACCACCCAACACTTGAATGCACTGATGAGCGCAATATGTGGCCGTCTCGGAAGCTGCTAACTTAGCCATTGCAGCTTCTTTTGTGTACGATTTTCCATTGTCCTTCAACCAACAAGAACGCCATGTGAGCAAACGAGCTGATTCCACTCTTAATGCCATGTCAGCCAGCTTTTGCTGTATAGTTTGATATTTAGCAATAGGCTTGCCAAATGCGGTACGTTTCTGCGCATAATCTGCGGCCAGTTCTAGTGAAGCTTGCGCAATGCCCAACGCTTGGCTGGCAATTCCAATACGTCCTGCGTCCAATGTTTGCATAGCAATTTTAAAACCATAACCGGGTTTACCCAAAATATTTTCTTTTGGAATTTCACAGTCTTCAAATATTAGCTGACATGTGGAACTAGCTCGAATTCCTAATTTGTCTTCTTTCTTCCCTATAGTATAGCCGCTAATACCCTTGGGTACAAGAAAAGCGGATATACCTTTGTGTTTCAATGACTTATCGGTTGTTGCAAAAACTACAGCAGCGCCTGCTTCAAAGCCATTTGTAATCCACATTTTAGTGCCATTTAATATGTAGCGATCGTTCTTTTCAACTGCGGTAGTAGAAGCTGCACCTGCATCAGAGCCATTGCCGGGTTCGGATAATGCAAAGCAACCGATCTTTTCACCAGTAGTGTAATGTACGATCCAATTTTCTTTTTGCTGTTGCGTCCCGTAATGATTGATGGGTCCTAAATAAAGTGAGTTATTCACAGACATTATCACCCCAGCAGATGCGCAGCCTCGTGATATTTCCTCAATCGCAATGCTATATGCCAAATAGTCCAAACCGGCACCACCTAATGGAAAATAGGTATCGAATATAAACCAAAAATAAATTCGAAATAATTAAATTTTCTAATAACCATATTCTTCAGGGATCGCTATAGCCATTAGCCCAAGTTCACCCATTTTTTTTATTTGCTTCTCCGGGTACAAGTGTTCACGATCATGTTTTGCTGCATGTGGTACTAATTCAGAATCGGCGAAATCTCTACATGTCTTCTGGAGCATCTGATGAGTTTCTGGCAATGCGGCTAAACAAGCGATTCGCCGAAAAACCTGATTTTTCAAGGTGCCAGAACGCCCTTTTGGTGTGGAAACATACGAGATATGAGAAATCAAAGTTCAATCGACAGAAAATAATACATATAAAAATTTCTGGTATTACTTACCCAAAAATTTAGCTGTGCTAAGAAGCGATTGCATTGTGATACTGGCGATTAGAATTTCAACAAGTGAATGGCCTTTTCTAGCTAATAAACTTAAATATAAATATGCGCATATTAAAACAATGCAAAGTAAAACAATAGAAACGGCAAACCGAACGGATCGCGCAGTCGATAGATGTTATCGAATTTGGAGGTTGAAATGGGTTATATAGCAACACTGGTCGGACTTGTGGACAATGCATTCATGAACAGTTGCTTCCGTTTGTGATCACTTCATTTTGTTGTTGCATAATTGAAGATCCATATCCGGTCCTACGTACCATGCGAATCTAACGGTTAACATTAAACAACTTGTATCTGTAAAAACATTTATTTTTGTATTTCTTCAATATGTTATATAAATACATATGTATCTACAAACATATACAAACAGACTTCTGCAATTCACTTCAGAGTGTATTTCATACCCAATTAATTAAATTCACTCGGAGTGAATTGAATAATCTTCCCGGTATATTTTTCTTAAACGTAAACTACGTCACAGCCTCAAAGTACCGTTGAACTTTTTGTCGCAACTCTAGTTTGGCACTCTCTTTAATAAACGCATGTTCCACGGCATTCAAAGTTATTTGCAACAAGTCATCGTCATTTAATTTGAAATTCTTCTTTGCCAGCTCATATTCTTTTGACAAAGTAGTATCAAACACACCACAGTCGTCGGTGCATATAACTACAGGTGCTATCTTATTTTGGAAAATGCGCTTAAAATGGTGGTCGCCATAATTTCGCACTGTGCCGCACTTGACATTACTTGTCAAACAGCATTCAATAGCAGTGTTTTTTCTTCCTAGCTCACGCAATTGAAATTCACTCAGGAACGTGCCATGTCCACACCGATCCATGCCAAATTTGATCATTTTCTCAATTTCCAAAGGTTTATCAATCTCTGCACAATGCAGTGCCAACTTTAAATTGTTCTTTCGAGCTTTCTCCAGAACAGGTATGAATTGCTCGAATTCACCAATATTAGGGTTGCCGCTAACATCGATACCAGTAATAATATCTTCATATTTATTCCGTAGTTGTAATATAATATTAATTGTGTCCTCCGCTTCAGCAAAATCTTTACTTCTATCGATAGATGGTATAAGATTTACACGAATGTTTTCAGTTTTATTGGAACGATCTATAACACTCAGTACGCATTCCATATACTCTTGCTTGGACATTACAGAATTTTGTTTGGGTGTTGTTCGTAGTTCTAAATATATAACGTTATCTTTGGAAAAATCTCGAATAGCTAGTTTAGTGGCTAATTGTAGACCCTTTTTTGTTGACGTCAATTCGTGCATAAAATGGAATTTCTTAAAACATCCATCTAGATCAACGTTTTCAAAGTTGATGAATTGTTCACTGAGTCTTAAGAATTCTATAGTATTACCACCATAAAGCAGCTCACCCAATTCCTTTATGGATTTTGTACTTAATGAGCCGTTGAGGTGGGCGTGCAACTCAATTTTTGGCATATTTCTTACGAAATTAGAGGCATCCATTACGAGTTTGTTTAGTTACAGTCCAAAATAGTTGACGGTTAGTTGGATTCTTTAGTTAGAAAACATTTTCGCATGGGCGTATTATATCGGTATGTAGGTTGAAGGTTTCTATCTTCGACTTGGTGCATGCATGACGGCCGACTGTTTTACCTACACAAAAATGAAGTATGATTTCAAGACACATAAAAACCTTTTTAATTAACTCCCTACCTGGTAAATGTATTTCCATAAGTCCTATATGATGCCCAAGGCGCATCCATACATATATTGATGCGCCTTGTATGTTGCCTTCTCAAATTTACAGGTGAATTATTTGGTCAATTACCATTCGCGTATGCCGACGGTCCGTTTGTTTTGCTTTAACAGCTGATTTTGATAGTTTATCGAAAACAGTACTGACAGTACAATTTGGTTATTATCGGTCTCTTATTGACAACGGCGCCATCTTACGTTGTCGAGTGTAGTTAATAACGATGGGTTCTTTCCCGAACGCGAAAAAATTGCACAAGAAAAATTGTAAATCCTAAAAAAAATGTTCAAAGCGGCGAATACCCCAGCAGCATTGCTATAACAATGTTTGGAACAATAGTTGTGTTTAATGAAACAAAAAAAAAAAATGAAGAGCAGCTCAAGTTACTGTTTGTAACTTAAGTATGAAACAAATGTTACTCGTGTATTCCACGCTTAACGAACGTTAGTATGTGAACATCTGGAGCAAAATGCGAGTATCTAAATTTCATTATAAAAAAAATAACCCCTTCTTGTTACCGCGATTCTAGGTACGTTGTATTACATATTTTTTGTTACCAGTTCATGAGGTGGTAAAAAAATTCACGGATTGCAATAGCGCACAGAATGCGAAATGAGGTTTAAAATTGATACACTGTATTTATTGGTTCAAAGGTGTATATCATCAGCGTTGAATAGACCTGTGAAGCGTCGTTCCCTCGACAGTCGAGTATATGTAACCGGAACCACCGACATTTATATCTGCACAAGGACTGCCACTCCAGCAACACGCTGGGGAATTCATATGCTGTTGCAACAACAACAAAAGACCTGTGAAGCGTCTGCCATGTAAACGTGCTCTAATCATTGCGCTCTTATTGACATCAGCGCCATCATGCGTTATCTCGCTTAGAAAACGACAACGTCTGTTTTGTACTGTAGTACAGTTTGCGTGAAAATCCTCAAAATAATACGGAATTGCAAAAATTTTTGCTCGACAATTTTTGAATTTTTGTGTAAATTAGTATGGTAGGTTTGTGTCGGTTATGTGCCGCTGTGCGTAAAACGGATATGCTAATTCCCATGAGCGTAGATGTTTGCCAAAAACTAAGCCAGTGCTTTGCAATGGAAATGTGCCAACCTGAGGATAAATTGCCAAGACGTGCCTGTGCAAACTGCATTGAAGCATTACAAAATTCCTTCAATTTTTTCAAGAAATTACAGGAATCACAGGAAACGTTGGCGTTATTATTCGACGAATCCAATAAAGAATCTAGTGAAAATATTGGCGAAATATGTTTAAGAATAAATACTAATAATAAGTTGGAAAAGGAGGGAAATACGAAGTACGAGACTGCGGTGTTGAGCGCAGATTTAAAAGATGTTGCAGTGGGAAACAATACAAACGGCGATAGATTACCAATATTACTCCCGACACAATTCAATGTGGATATTGGGCAAGAGAATGCGGACTTCGATGTAGTTGAAGTGTATCCGGCTATGGATACAGAAGCTGATTTTAAAGCTGAGAGTATAGTAGAGGAAAGTGATTGCAAAGGCGGGGAAAGTCCAGATCAACTTTCCGAAAGTAGTATGAAAATTGAAACTTGGTTCCTAGAGGAAGAGGAAGAAGACTTGGAAAAGCAAGGGAACGATGACGAAAACCAAATAGAGCAGAACGAAAGTAACACCCTGGATAATTTTAAGCCTACGGTAATTGAAATTTTACATACATCATACGAAGGCAACGGTAAGGCGCAGGTTTGTACATATCTAAAAATCTAGTATAGCTACCAAAGAAAACAAAACCATAATAACTTGTAAAAAAGTAATTATTAAGCAAAAATCATTGAAAACGGTTGTCGTGGTCCAAAGTTGTCCCGTAACATTCTTAAAAAAATATTTTCCAATGAATTTATCATGATCATGGAATTTATAACTGCCCTCCTTTTTTAAACATTTTATATCATGGCATGTATTAATAATTTCTCTATGTATTTTTTTAATTTAGCAACTTCCAGCAAAGACCACCGATGAAAATCACATGCTAGAATGGGGAACTTATAATTGGATTTGCTATTCTTGTCCAGAGATCTGTGATACATTTTCTGCATTGCTGTTGCATTGCAAGGAGAAACACGACGTCGTTGACGCCAATAATATGCAATTTAAATGTGCTGATTGTCAGAAAATATGCGCCCATTATAATAAGTTCGTTAACCATGTACGTTTCCGACATCATCCAGAATTAATTTTAAGATGCGACGCATGCGATGTTCAGAAAGATAATTGCACAGAATTGGCGGTGCATAGAGCTATGTCTTGTATGGCAGCGCAGTCATATCCTTCAATAAATTTATGCAGCATATGTGGAAAGAGTTTCCTCAGTCTGAATGCAACTTTGGTACATGCGCGTCATCAACACAGCGATGGGATTGGCGATGAAATCAAATGGTATCAGTGTGCTCAATGTGAGAAGAAGTTCAAACGGATTACTAATCTGCGGGCGCATGAAAATATTCATTTGGGTATTATTCCTCATACATATATAGTAGACTGGCTCACCAATAAAAGGTGCGGTTTTTCTGCCGGGACTACAAAATTCATTATATTTTAAGATGCCCACCAAAACATTAACATTTAAGTGTGCTGGAACGATTTGAAAATACCTCCAAAAATCGGGGTTTTTATGAATAAAAATAGTTTCCTAAAGAACTTTTTGAAAAAATCCACTCAGATGAAAAAACAGATGAAGCTTAAAAAATCTGCATAAAAATATGTAAAAATCTTTTCAACGGAAT